GATCTCGAAAAATAATTGGCTAGTGCCATAAAAAGTCACATGACCGGAAAATTTTTTGTGGGTGAGCTACTAACGTCCTTATTGACCGATAATTAATTAGTTAACAGTAGTAATATGTTAGGCTTCGGACTCACAACAGTTCCTGTTATTTAATATGTACATAGAATAGAATGTATGTATGGTTAATAAAATTTAGCTTTTAAGTGAGCCCCTTTTGATGGTTAGGTTATTATTGTTCTTTTTGCATGTTAAGATATAGCATAGGTTAGTTTTTATTTAAAAAAAAAAAACCTCGATGTCAGTTACCTGGGGACGTTATTTTATTGTCAAGAGAAATATGTGCAGTGCATTATCAAATTAAGTTTTTGTGTTCCTAATACGAAACCTTCCTATAAAAGACAATGTGTGGTGTCCTTCCCCATTTCTTGCACCAGCCAAATGATTGAGATCGATCGATCTTAATTCGACCTATAAATTTATCGACATAAATTCCTAGGCGAGTTAAGATATTGATTTTTAATTTCATAGCGATAGGACCGAATGTACATTCTACCTAATCGAATCTTAATTGTTTGACTAATGTTGTTAGTAAACCATGTCCAGGTTTCATATATTACGATTATGTGAAGCCAAAGAACTACTAAACATGGGTGGGTGGATCTCATATTAGATGCTGTAACTATTTCCTCAGGCCCCTAATAAAAATCGTAACTTTTAAATTTAAGAAGGTTCGGGTGCCGTCGGTTTATTATAAATATTATCGATTTATCTAATAAAAAAATGTCTGCAAAATTTTACTTCACCATAAAATTTTTTTTTTTATTAGGCCACAGCAAATTGTATATTTACGGATTTGAATTTTTATATTCAATTTTTGAATCAAATATTCGAATTGAAAAAAACTTTAAATAATAAATTCGAAATTAACACAAAAATATATTGAAATATCTAATATAGAATTTCTTCTTTATTTACTTTTAAAAAATATTATTTGAAGTGAAATATCATTTAAAGCGAAAGTTATCATTAAATTTATCACTCTAAAAAGTTGGACTTCTTCCGCCTCCCCTTGGACTAACAATAGTAATACATTTGACAACACATTGTTTCAAAGGACCAAAAGTAGTCCAAATATTTGAAGTGTATCTACATCTCCAAATACATTCTCTGAATTTTCTGTGCACAACCAAATTTTGGGAAGCTTCAGTATCACCGATGTCGGAATCTTCTCCACTTGGGACTTCTTCAGCATCAGATTTTTGGTAAGCTGGCTGGTAAGGAGAATCATCAGCTGTTGGAAGATATTCGTGGCCTTCGGGCGCAGTATCTTGAGGTGAAAGTTCATAATTCAATGTATCCACCGAAGCGGAAGTAACGAGAGCGGCGATTACGGTGATTAGGATACACAACGACAAAATTGCGCGTTTCATTTTTAATTGGTAATAAGATTGATCTGATTTCTATTGTTATTGTGGTCGTTTGTTTGTTCGTTCGGTTTGTGTTTGATCCGTGGTTTATATGGGTCGTTTATATATTTTTTTGCACAAGTATATTTACTACTAATTTGAATTTCGATTAACTTTCATAATAAACTTTACGTGTAATGATCGAGTTAGATAAAGGATTTTTAAATCATACTATCTTATGATTATCTTTTTTTTTTGTTTTTTTTTTGTTTTTTAAAGAAAAACTTAATCATAAGGCTGTTCAAGACTAATGTTTTCAAACTGAGAATAAAAAATACAGTATCTTACAATTTATTATATTTTATAATGACATCATTAAAATTTCTAGAGCAGAATACGTTATTAGGATATTTGTATAATTCATTACTATATCTTTTGCCGAACAACTTTTACATTCATCAAATTTCAAAATTCACCATATTTTTTTTACTTTTCTCATTTTACTTTTCATGGATCCATTACCAAAAATTCGATCACTATTAAACGATAAAACGACTAGTGACTTAATAATTCGTATTGATGGAAAAATTTATTACGCACATAAAATTGTTCTTTTATTAAAATCCGAATATTTTTGTAAAATTTTTTCTGAATATAAAGGTAAATATTTTGATTTTAGTTGTTCTAAAGAATCTGTTTATAGTGTGTGGTATGAATATAATAAAGATGCTACCGAAACGGGAGAAAATGGTGAAAATAGTAATAATTTTTCGGTGAAACGTGATCAAAAAAATGTTGAAATTTATTATGATTATGAAATTTTTGGTCAGTTTTTAGCGTATTGGTGAGTTTTTTTTTTATTTAATTCTTATAGATGACCTTTTTCGTTAGAATGATAATAATATTCATTATTTTGATTTCATAGTTACGGGTGGCCAATTCAGCAAAGAACGACTGATGAATTGTTTGCAATTGCATACCTGGCAAAAAAATTTGGTGCGCCTGAGTTAACAAAATTAATAGATTGTTTGTTAAAAATTCTTCCAAAATCATGGAAATCTGGTGATAATACTTGGGAAGTTGGATTGATGGTTAGCAAATGGTTAAATTTGGATCAAACCAGATTAGCTATTTTAAAATTTTTGGTAAATTGTTTGTCAAACGCTGATAATAAGACGATAACGGAAAGAATTATAATGAAATTAGAAAAAGATGATTTAAAGGAAGTTGAGCAATTAATGATGGAGGTTTATGGAAAGCTGAATGAAAATACGACAGAAAAAGAGGGCTGTGATGATAGTGAGGATAGCACAGAATCGGACTCTTCAGAATCAGAAACAGATGAAACAAAAAAATTAGGAAATAACACATCCAATATTGCGCATAAAAAGGAAACAACCCAAGAAGGTGAAGAATCCTCCAGTGAATCAAGCGATGAATCTAGTGATGAATCTGACTCATCGTCATCTTCGTCGTCGTCATCTTCATCGTCGTCCTCATCATCGTCTTCATCCTCATCATCATCGTCTTCTGATCAAGGTAAATCAAAGGAAATCAACACTGGCACGGCTGCTATCACGAAATAACCTTGAGCTAAATGGGTGATTCTCACCGAGCATAAATATTACAAATTATACAATCTAAATTAGCATATAATTCAATAGTGTTATTTATTTACCTTTCAGTTGAGCTTATCAAATTTGCAATATGATTTTTTTTTTCTCGCTTGCTTACTTAAATAGTAAGAAGGTTGTGTGTATATCAGTAACAGCTTAAATAAATTAACGTAATAGTATGCATAAAGTTTAATAAGTTTAATACAATTATTAATAATTGATACTTTCTTGTTATCTGGCATGATTTGACGTATACATGGGTTAATAGCAAAAGCACGTGGCTGAAAGCCTCGTTGCAATTATACTATCGATGTCCATGATTGATCATGATTAGTTTATCTGGCAGGTATGACGTATACACTTACGAAAAGAATTTTATTTTATATTACTTCCGCAGATTCCTGTCATATGTTTTAATAAAAATTTGCGGAAATAATGTGAAATTTTTTCCGTCAGTGTTTGCATAGTACCTGTCGGATAAGTATTATTATTATTAACAAAAATTACTAACAATAACTGGAATATTACAAAATCGAAATAACGTACTCCGGGAATCACGAAATATGGTAACACGGATATCAACTAACACTATTACTACCTAAAACAACACACAAAACCACTATCTAACCTAAACCCTAATAATGACAGGCTACGATCGAAGCATGGTGAGATTTGGTCCGAGTAATTAGAATATTAGATTAGAGCTCTATATTACATCATGAGGCTCTAATTCGGGATTACGGGATTATTAATCCTTTATACTTATCGGGATTGGAGCAAACACCTTTACAATGTTGAACTTTTATTGAGTTCTGAACTCTATCTGAGTTATCTTTATTGAAGTGAAAAGGTATCGCTTTTATAGTTTTTACATGCTTATTCAATCCAGGTTTTGAAGTCGAACTTATTCACTAAATGCGATAAAGCGGATAAGGCGGATAAAGCGAGTAAATCCAATTAATTGAATAAATGGATTTATCGGATAAGTTCACGAAGTGGTCTTCGCGACTTTTACAAATAAAGTAACGTCCTTATATTTATTGTCTTTACCTAATTAACTAAGTCGAACATATATAGGGTAACAGATAAAAATAGAATAAAATAAAAGAATACGTATATCACGTGATTCTGCTCCGCTTTAGACAATAAGCCGCGTGAGCCCCATATAATCAACATAAATCGATATTTTTCACTGTCCCTGCATTCGAATTCCTCTCAATATAATAATAATAATAATATAATCACCCAGGCCTGGTGATGGTCACCACCGGTTATAGCTAGTAATATTCTTAAATTTTTATTATTTCGATTTATCGATGACTTAGAAAACGCGTCCCTAACTGGGTATTGTGCCGCCCACGTGTTTCTATTATGATTGGTTGTTCTGAACACAAAACAGGAATAAATAACGCGATATCGATAATGTTATTATTTAAAACTTATTCATAAACAATGCAATATCCTGGCAAAACGGGTAATCAATAATTCAAAATATGCGAAAAAGAGCTTTGTTTGTATGAGGTTCTGGTCGATCACTTTTGCTTTAAAATAGTTCTTGAAACATATCTCCAAAATGCTGGCAAATTTGCGTCTTATCAAGGTTTTCTGACCTTAAATCGTGCGGTAATCGTGAAGATACCACCAATGATAGACAATTGGATGGGGTTAAATGGCTCGTGGTACAGAAGATATTCACAGACATCAGAAAGATTGAAACTACCGCAAACAGCACCTATCACAAAGGAGGTAAATTAGTAACGAACCTCGATGAAAATTATACTCTGAGATCTTTGTATCTTACATTTGATGAACTTAATGAAAGCGAACTAAGAAAGTTACTGGAGGTACTTTCTAAAAAAAACGCAATAAGAACTCTGGGGCTTGAATATTTCAGTTAGACAATTCAGTTAAAAGTGGAATGATACTAGAGGAGTACGTCTGCCACAGCAAAATATATAATTTGAGTATTTACGGAGATCCGACACAACATCATAAAGTAAGTAAACTCTTTTTCAATTTAAATGACCTAGGGCGACTCTTGACAGCTTTCTACCTGAATCCAGAGTATAGGCGTTCTCCCCTAGCCCGAGTGATAATGAAGGGTAACTCTTGACAGCTTTCTATCTGAATCCAGAGCATGGGCGTTCTCCCCCAGCCCTCATTATTGCGTTATGGTCTTTATTCTTTTAAGTATAGTGTTAGAGTCAATTATTATTATGTTGCATTATTAGCCATTACATATTATTTTTCAAAGGATTTTCGCACGTATTGGGAAGAAATTATTGAAGAACGTAAGAAGGTAGGCGAAAGAGCCGTTATTTGTATATGTATATTAGTTATAGCTAAAATTAAAACTATCATTATAGAATTGCGTGAAAAGAGCTTTTCGTTCCAAGACATTAGACATTTATGAAGTCGTAAGTGTGAATGTTGGTGAGGAAATCGTAAGTGAATGCCAGTCATCGAAAAAGACAAGAAGTGGAAGGAAGATAGCTAATTATCGTGAAGAATCTTCTTCCTTATCTGAAGGAAATGTAAATTCGTTTACTTGCAATACTATCTGAGGTTATATTTCGTATTGCTAGTTTGACCTTTTATTTTTGTAGAATTTGGACGAGATCGATGTTTTCTTCCGGAAAAATTCATCTGGTAGACAATCAACATTTATAAGTAAATTGGAAGCAGAAAACAGCGAGTCTTAATATTCGCCAAGGCATTGTATAGCAGTTTTTTATTCTTTTTATTTTTTTGAAATATAATACAAATAACCAGTGGTGATCATCACCAACTTAGATAAATTTAGGTTAGGTTGTAGTTTAGGTTGTTGTTTTTTTTTTTTTTAATAATATAATGTAAATTAGATATAAGGTCCCGATTTCAGTTCTCATGAGGTTTCAGGGGTCCTGAACATTTTTACTTAGAGTACCCCATCCAGTTTACATACATTTTTTAGATATAAGCATCCTGGAGCATAGCGGACATTCGATTTGATTGGCTTGAAGATCACTGGGTTACACAATATAAAAAAAATTTTTAAAGTAACCC